ATAACGGCCATCATTTACTAAAGTGTTTCCTATATACCAGGCACCATTTGGAGATGTACTGGCTTTTAGTTTTCAAATTGATGGTAAATGAGATAACTTTTTTCCCCATAAATTATATACATATTTTTTTTTCAAGTAATTATGACTAAGTGGGATTTTTTTTTTAAAGATTTATTTATTTATTCATACAGAACTGGGGTACAGGCCAGAGGCTCAGGGACGGTGAGAGGCTTCACCAGAGACAGAGTGGGGAGCAGAACAGGCAGATTGACGAAGTACACTGCTGAGGGGAGCAGTGGGCGGGTCAGGAGAGGTCTGGCTCGCCATGTGGTCTCCTCCGGGGCAGGCGGCAGGCGGGAATCGAACTCATGCGGAAGTGGCTTCAGATTCTCAGTGCTGTGCTTTAACCCGCTGCGCCACCAGGGAGGGCCAGTAAGTGGGATTTTTATAAAAGCATCATCAGATAATCATCTAAGGTAGAAAATAGTCTCTTCCATGTCAGAAACCCACAAAGGTTAGTCTTGTTCTCACAGATGCTATTATTCACTGCTCAGAGGAAAATCCTGTGAAAAGTACAAACTGGCGCTTTAAATATCAGATGAGGACAATTTCTCAAACTAACCAGACCAGAAGGAATATCTGAAGATCACAAAATGAAATGTTCAAGTTTCTCAGGCACCCTGTAAAGTACCCAGCCTTACTACCAATCCCCAAGGCTATAAAGGACTCGTAATTGTTCCAGGTTGATGCTGGTTATCAGTGGGTACAGTTGGAAAAGGTTTTCCTGAGGGAAGAGTTGGGCTGGTTTCTTCATTTTCTTCACACCTCACACCTGATTGACACTATAGCGAGGGGCTTACAGAAGAAAACTCAAGATACTGGGGCGGGGTAGGCAGCATTTCATGCTCTTGAAAGGCTTCATCAGGGTAGGTCTGTGGTGGATCATGGAGGCCCAGGACAACAAGCACAAAAGGGAACACGAACCTGACCTGGATAGTGACGGCAACTCTCAGTCAGGCATGGACTGGAGCAGGACAACAGGAGTGAAACCTGCTATAGATGTGAAGGAATTCTAAAAGCAAGTGACTTAGGGACAGCCTTGTGGGGCTTGAAGTGCTTCACTCTGAGGGAGATGGTGTATTAAGCTTTTCACTATTCATTCAAAGTTTATTAAGTATGTATTTTATGCCTGGAACTCAGCTGCAACTAAAGTATGCATAACTCAAAGCATTTCATATAAATTAAGTTTCCAGACAACTGAGAGTGTTTTTAATTTACTATATAATCAATGAAATATTTTCTAATATCATGCTTGTTGCACAGTTTTTAAACTGCATAATAAACATTGTGTTTTATTGATGACTTGAGGGTCACAGTCTCAGTTAGGGTTGCCAGATAAAATATAAGAACCCCAGTAAACTTTGGATTATAGATAAACATAGGCAATTTTTGGAACATATTTGAATAAAAAAAAATTCCTTCTTTGTCTGATTTTTTCAAAAATACAAGATAATTGGGTATCTTGTATTTTTATTTGTTAAATCCGGCATCCCTACAATTGTTGTGTGGTGCTGTATTGACACCTCAGGTGCAGGTGAGCTGTGGAAGGACTCGCTATGCTGTCACTTTGGTACAATACCACTGTGGTCTTTGAATTTTGTTTTGCAATCTCTTTTCTTGCTTTTCAATGAATGTATTGCTTATTGCAGTAAGCATATAGCATCTTCAAGTCTCCTTTCCATCTTCTTACATTTCATTCTTTTAATTGATTTGGGCCAGGAAATCAAACCCCAAACATGATTGGATTTTGGGTAAGAGTAAATAGTTGAGAAGGGTACAAATATTTGAGGATACCTTCTTGAGAAAAGTATGCAAACTGCAAATCAAGGTCTTCATAAAAACTTAATTTGACTTCCCAGAAATGATCCTGTAGTTTCTTTCAGTCCCTCGGCACTAGCAAATGACAGCTTATTTCCTGGAGTGTATGGCTGTTCAGAGAGAGCACTATATAAGTGGAAATGAGCCTCTGAGGGAGAAGAGGTTAAAGGTAGCTATGAGAATTTGTAGTTGCATTTTCACATTTGAGCCTGACTTGAGGCGTTCCTGAAAATGCTGAGGAAGACTCAGATATGTACTGAATTGGCTTAAATAGTTACCTGGTCACCTGATCTTACCTCCAGGCAGGGACTACATTAGGTGACCTTTTAAAATCATAGATTTATGGCTTTGAGTGTTCTGTGTTGATGTATCAAATCAACTCAAAATAGCAATCACATCCAAAATAAGAAAATCAAAGTAAAATTAGCCAGTATAATATCTACAGTGGAAACTGGTATGTTTTCCAAAAAGATGTTTAAAAGAGGTTCTAGCCAGCCTGTAAAATCTTAGGTGGAAGAATTACAATGTCTATTTTTTTTCTACTACACTCATTTACACAATGATTAAACATTTTTTTTGCCCTAAGCAATGCTTGCTCTGAATATAGATTAAAAGTGACTTCTGAATTAAACTGCCATTTCCTAGTGCTGAGCTTATGATTACTCAAACTCAGCATGCAAGTCAGCAAACACCTTCCACTCTTTATATCTGCATTTAACTCTACCTTATATCACAAAATTTGTTTGAAAATTTTTATGGTAGAGGATCTTCAGGCTCAAGATGATGAGATTTTGTATCATCTAACTATGTCTACTTTTACTGGCTTTATTCAAAGAATGACTCATTAAAATCAGATCTTGCAGAATCTTGGAAGGTGATAGAAAAAATCTAATACTAATATACCAATATAGTCACTGGCAGAAGGGGAGGTTGCCCCAGTCCTGTCACTGCTTAATCTTAACAAAGAGCCTTTTGCAGATATCACATTTCCACATGTAAGTCAAGTGATAACTATAGCCCCTCATAGTGGTTTCTTAGGGTTGCCATAACAAAATCCTTCAAATTGTATGACTTAATAGAAAATTGTCTCATATTGTTAGAGATTAGAACTCTGAGATCAAGTTATCACCAGAGCTGGTTCGTCCCTAGAATTTAAGAGAGAAACTGTAAGGAATTTGTTGGCAATCTCCAACTTTCCTTGTCTTGCAGACAGATCACCTAATCTATGTTCATTTAGTGTTCTGCCTGTGTTCAAATTTCTTGTTTTTATAAGAAGACTAGTTATATTGGATTAGGAACTCATCCTATTCCATTATGATCCCACCTCACCTAATTACAACCAAAATTACCTTATTGGCAAATATGGTTAACATTCTGAGGTATTAGAGGTTAGGACTTAAACCTAACCATTTGAGCAGACATTTTTCAACTCATCATACTCCCTTTCTGATGTAAGTTTTCATAACTGTAGATCAAATCTCAATTTCAGAAAAAATTTCCAGAAATACAAATTTTTTGTTACTTATTTTCCATGGGCTGACCTTACTTTTCCCTTCCCATATAAGTATATCCTATAATTTTAACATATCATAGATTTCATGGAATATTAAGAAAGTAAAAAGAAATTTACCTCTGGGGTCATAGCAAGGATGCTGTTTCATTTTATCTTCTCAAGTGATATTTTCCAATCAGTATAATGTCTTAAAATTATCATGTCTTGGCCCTTCCTGGTGGCGCAGCGGATTAAAGCATAGCACAGAAGCTTAAGCTACTTCCGCATGAGTTCGATCCCCGCCTGCCCCGGGAAGTGACCACATGGCGGGTCAGACCTCTCCTGACCCGCCCGCTGCTCCCCTCAGCAGTGTACTTCAACGATCTACCTGTTCTGCTCCCCACTCTGTCTCTGGTGAAACCTCTCGCCACCCCTGAGCGTCTGGCCTGTACCCCAGTTCTGTATGTACAAATAAATAAATCTTTAAAAAAAAATTATCATGTCTTAGTTGTTGACAGTGTGGTCAGGGATGTGGATCTTTGAGGGGCTAACTAATCCCTTAAAACAAGAATAAATATCCTGTCCAAAATTGATATAAAGAATATGGACAAAGTGGCACAAAGCATCTTTTATTTAAAAAATAAAGTACAGGAATAAATCGCTTTAAAAACCAGCATTTAATATCTATGATCATATGATAATGACATTATATAATGTTTTGTATTGGACTGGTGACAGTTTTTAAGACTTTTTTAAATGAATGTCATGTTTGATTCTTATTTCAGATATCTGATTAAAATTACAATTTTTTTGTAAATTGGGTTCTCTTACAAAAGTATCAAATATCTACTACCTACACAATTCGTTGTCTGTTACCATTCACGAGATATACACCGAAGTTCAACAGAGATAATACAATTTCTATCCTTCGCTTCTTATTCAGAGCAAAACGATCTGAGTCTACGTGTCGTTCAAATTCATTTACAGGACAGAGCTGACTTTGCATAATGTAGTAAACGGATACAAGCAACGACCTGGGAAAGACAAAGCATCGAGTTCAATAATGGATCCTATAATACGATACTATTGCGCTCACGCTCTCATTTTCTGTACTAAATATGATTTCATAATCTCATTATTTTCTAGCCCCCTCGACGTGACAGGTTTTGTTTTTGATACTCTTATCAATCTGTCCTGTACTGTTAAATTGGCTTAGCGTTCTATTTTCTGGTTGTTAAATCTGTCACCGGTATCAGGACAACTATGTCCTGAAATTTTAAGGTCTCTTCTTTAAGGTCTTTTCTTGTGTCAAAAAAAGTCTGCTTTCCCCACCGGTTCGCTTTTCTCTCGCCTACTCTCAAGAGCCAGTTCTTTTTTTTCTTCTTCATTTCTGTTTCGCTTAGTTCCTTTCACACTCTAGCTGTGTAGGGGGATTTAAATTCCAACCCGGAACTCGGACTTGCGCCTCTTGAATGGTGGGAGTCGTAGTTTCTGGGACTCCTCCCTAACCGCCTTTAACACTAATTTCTTCCCACACTGAAAAACTACAACTCCCAGAATGCATATGCGGCAGTAGCTACCCCTCTGCGCACGCGCCCTGAGGCCGCAGGATTTGAATCGGCGGCGTTGTTATTGACGCCATATTGGGGCCGGCGGCGGGTGGAATAGTCTCCCAGTGGAGGGGGAAGCGACTGGACGTGTTCTTTTGAGCGCTTGCCGTTGCTGCTGCCTCGCAATCCCTCCGCATCGATCGCCGCTCTCAAGCTTCTGACTCTCCTCGCGCGTTTGAGGAGCCGTGTCCCAGCCTCACACCTCACGAGGCTGGTATCGACTTCCGAAGGGAGCCGGTCTCCGCGCAGGAGCACCACCAGGCGCGGCGCAAAGCTCGAACGGACGGCGGGGGCGGCCGGAGCCTCTCCCGGGGGATCCGCGCTGAGGAGGCGGAAGAGCCCCCCTGACGCGGCTGGCGTGGGCTGTTGCCACCGCCCCTCCCGCTCTCGCCGGGGCCGGCCCCTGGCCACTGCCCCTGCCGCGGAGGCAGCGGCGGCGGCTGCGTCTTCTCTTGCCGCTGGCCTTCGCCTGTCGCCTGTCTGCGGTTGACCCCGTCGCTCAGGCTTCCCTCGAGTCCCCTTCTCCCTCCCCCTTCCTCGCCCTTCCCTCCCGACGCCTTCTCCGACCCCACCCGAGCCCGCGGCTGGGCTGCCCCGGCCATGGCGTGCGGAGCCACTTTGAAAAGGACTCTGGATTTCGACCCGCTGCTGAGCCCGGCGTCCCCGAAGCGGAGGCGATGTACGCCATTGTCGGCGCCCACCTCGGCCGCCGCCTCCCCGTCGTCGGCGGCCGCGACCGCCGCCGCCGCCTTCTCGGCAGCCGCCGCTTCACCGCAGAAGTATCTCCGAATGGAGCCGTCCCCCTTTGGCGACGTCTCCTCCCGCCTCACCACAGGTGGGACTCGGCTTCGCGGCCGCTGGGTGGGCGGGAGAACCGGGGCCCGGGGCGCGGGTGAGGCCGCCGCGGTGGGGTGCCAGAGGGCCCCGCTCCCTCCTCACAAAGTAATCTGGCGACCACGTTTATTTCAACTCGGTTTCCCAGATTCGGGGGCACAATGGAAGTGGCCTGATGTCACGGGCGGGGGGTTGGGGGGGTGGGGGAGCAGTCCCGGCCGGGTGTTGGGGAGAGGAAGGTCCTTTTCCCAGGGCCGAGTACTGGAGTGGAGTGTTTCCGCAGTCAGAGAACCAGCGGAAACGATCCGAGGGCGATTTTATTCATACATTCTGGGAGGGATGAGTCGCACCTCTCCGGAGCCTTCTGTCTCTTTTTGAATCGATGGAGTACAGCTGTTGACTGAGTGGTTTGAGGCGAGGTCGCAGCCCTCCTCCAGTCAGACATGGCCGATTTTAGGACGGAGGGTGGGGGTGGGGATGGATGTCACCGGGGCGAGATCTGGGCCTGTCATTAATCACCCTTCCGAACGCCACTGGGGCTGAGTCAAGACCTGTTTCCCTAGCAGGGCCAGCAACAAAGAAAATGCTCTTCCTGAATGCTGGAGTGTGGTCACGTTATCTGTCTAGACCTTGGGAAACAAACTTTTAACATGTAAAGCAAATTGTGTCGAAAATTGGGAGTGGGTAGTTTTCCCTTGGCAGTGCCTTCTTCCTGTCCTTCAGTGTGCTGGGCGACAACAGCCTAGGTCCTGAGGATTATAAAGAGATGAACCGAAGATGCCAAGGGGCTTCTGACCGTTTTTGCTGCTTCATCTTGAAACAGTTCCTGAAAGTGACTATGGGGAAATGGCTTTCGGCTGCTTTGTGCTGCATGTGTTTGCCCCGTTTTTTCTGCACTTTGGAAATCCCTGTGTGCCCCTGGCACAGTCTGAGATAGGCTTTTGTAGACTGGAAGTGCAAGTCTGTTTCCTTTGTGTGCAGCATGCAAGGGTTTCTGTGTGAGGCTTTGGTAATAACATGACCTGTAGACAAAGCCTTTTCATAAGGTGTTTTCGTCATCATTAGCTTACAAAAATCAGACGGCAGTGTTTTAAGTGTGCCTCCCCAGATCTACAGGGAAGATCTTCAGACACATAGGCTACCTTGTTTTGCTATTGGATGCTTGATCTCACATAAAGATAAATTTTAGAGTTGTAGCGAATTTTCAGGAATTCCCAATTTTACATAATGACCATATCTAATTTGTCTGCCGAGTGAAGACATTCTTTGATTTTTTTGTTCGCTTTACTTTAAAAAAGGAACAATTCCAATGAATGCACTCCTGGTGGGTAAAACTGAGTTTGCCTTTTTTAAATGTAATGATACCATTGAAAATTGAAATGATATCATGGAATCTAACTAATAAGGCCACTTAAAAATAGCCCTAGCTGCTAGCCAGCAATGAATTTCAGTGGAGGGGTGAGTTTGTACAGTGTTACCTTTGGGAATTAAAGTATATCTCAATGCTAAAATAATCTCCAGAATATAGTAAACTAGTCAAAAGGCTCTACCACTTATTCTCACTGTGAAGGAACCTATCAAAAAGAATTGTGATCTTTTGCAGTATTATCATTTCATTGATCTACTTGTGGCATTGGCTAATGCAGTTGGTTTAACATTATCTCACATTCCAATTAAATGAATTATAGTATAAAATGCCTGGGATTGCTAGAATTGCATAAGCCTCCTAATTTATATTCACTTTTCTATAATACTGCTATCTTCTGTTCTGTAAGGTATTTTTATCATCTGCTCTCAGAAGTTTTGATCATTTGCTTAACTCAAAGTTGAATCTAACAAAAAGTTGACTTGAAAAGCAGTTAAGGTTGCTAACATCTTAATTTTTCAAAATTTTTTTGCTATAGTTTTGAGTGTCATTCTATATGTAATTTTTGTGTTTACCCGACTAGTTTCTGTCATGCTACTGTATGGGTTTTGTAATGATGTCATAATGGGAGCTGCAGTGTTGTGCAGATATTAAATTTTCTTGCTTTTCATGTTACTAAAATTGTAAGTAATTTCCCCAAGGACCTAAATTTTAGATTCCTCCTTTAACAGTGGTGGTTCTTGAATTTCTTAGTGAATGAATACATGTATGTCTTTTGCTGAATAAATGACTAAGTTTACGAGGAGGGTGATTTACCAAATTTAGATTGATTGGGAAGCTAGAAAATCAGTTTTCATTTACATGAGTTCAGATACAGTTTTAGAATTAGAGTACTGAAATGAATTGTTTTCAGAGTAGGTATAAAATGGTTATTTTGTCATTGTTCTTCTCTGGATACTTAGTTTCAGGAACTTGGACCTGTTTTAAACCCTAGTTACTAATTTTGTCATCCCAGGGACATGATTCCAAGGCTTGACTTGATGACTTTTATTAAAATCACTATTTTTCAGGCTATTGCCACTCAGTACCAGGAAAAAGGAAAGAGATGGCAAATAAAGTTTTATTAGAACACAGCCATGCTATTTTTTCTTCTAAATAATAGCAGAGTTGATTATCTGTGACAAAGATGGTATTTTTCCAAAGCCCAAGTATTTACTGCCTGGGCCTTTATAAAGTTTGCCTATCCCTGTTTAGGGTGTCAGCAGAGAGGTTTATAATATCCTCAGATGTGGAAAGGGAAAGAGAATGATAGAGTGGTGTGGTTGACTATGGGTTGGGAAAATGTATGCTTTTACTAATTTGTATTGATACTCATCCTGTTAGTTGAAAATAGATTCAAAGTGTCTGTCCTACACTTTTCAACATCTCAGAATATTACCATTGGCCAAAAGTTATCTTGACATTCCCAAGAACAAAATTTTATGCAACATTACAAGAGATTGTCTCGTAAGCTATAACACGTTTTTCATAATTGTATAGTGAATGAATGAATGGTCTAGTGAAGAGCGCATTCTTTGTCAAACCATTTGAGTTTATTAGGCACTTTTGTACATACTGTTTTTGTCTTGCTGGCATTGCTCTAGTGTGCCTCAGGAATTAGTTGGATGAAGAGTTAAATTCCTTTGTAAGAACTCATTGTGTTTACTGGAAACTTGCCATTAAAAATGGAAATTGCAGCTTGTGAATGGGAAAGGGTTTACAGGAACTTAGATTGTTCAGTAGACATTGATGCATGCCTGCAAACAGAGACACCAGCTGGCTTAAATGAAGTATAAATGGTTCTAGGCAAACAAATGAGATGTCTGTTGGAAGACGCAGCATTTCACTTCAGATGTCATTTATATTGAGCCAGAAGTGTTTAATATTTTGTGGCTATTTGGACAGCTGTTAAGTTACTTCTAGTTTCTCAGTGGATTTGGCAAATAAACTCTTTTTAATGGTCTTTGTTCTTTGGATTTTAAACCTAATATTTTATTTAGGGCTGTATGTGACTGCATTTATTTCATATGAATTATGTATTTAAGAATCCAGTAAGTTTATGGCCATTAAAAGCAAGTGCCATTGTATTCACTATTGTTTTGTTTTTAAAAGTAGAATAAAAAGTCTAACTTGAACCTAGAAATACATACGGTAAACATGGATATAGATTATAGACAGAGGTTACAACCCTCTTAATATAGATGCTACTACCTGCCACGGTTGCCACAGAGTACAATCTGAGCTGTAAAGGGAAATGATAAATTCCTTCAACTCTTCAAATAGCTTTAGGACAAAGTACATGTTGTATTTATTATTCAGATCTTTTCCTAAGTGTTTAGATAGGCCAGGGAAAAAAAGGGATAGAAATGTTTTTGTTTTGAAAGGTTGAAAATAAAATTCTATGGCCGTGTTTTTGAGTATTTTTCCTAATTGAAAAGAAAAGTTTTGATTCTTACATTTGAAGAAAAATACAGAATGACATGGCTTAAGTTTGGACCTCTGAATATATTTTTCATGTAGGGCTCTTTTCAAGTATGTATAACTGAATTAACCAGCAGTCTGTGGTCCTTGGAGTCTTTAACTCCGTATAATATTATGGACTCACAAAATATATTCTCCATACATACAGGAAACCACATTGAATTTCTGTGAAAAAAAAATAAATCCATATGAATCTGTCTGACATCTGCTAATAGTAGAGGTCTTCATAAATTATTTTTCAGTTTGAGAGATGGTATCTTTAGTTTTACTGCAGAGTGTAGAACTCAGCTGACATTACTTAGCTTTCTAAACATACCTTTAATATATGATTGATCCATGAGTGGCACTGCCATATATGGGTTGACTGTCCACTGGATTTGGTGTGCTATATAATTTATGTAGTTTACAAATAATCCCCAAAGTTTACTTCCATTACCTTCCCTCCTACTGTCTTAATCATAACGTTTTAAAACAGTCATTGGTTTGTTGAGTTAATCAAACTTTGGTATTTCCTATGGTTCTTAAGAGAACCATGTCGAGGTTAAAAAGTACAAAACTTCAGTTCTATCCCTTAAATTTTTCTCTTTTATTTTTACAAATGTGCTTGAGATGAACAATAAGAAGAAATGCAATATTGCTGAATACCACTTTTCTTGAGGCACTATAAGTACTTCATATTCACTGTATGGATAGTGACTGTGTATGCATTACAGTTTTGAAATAGCCTCATCACCATCTTCAGAGATTTGCTCATTTGAAAAATAAATTTATAAAGATTTTGCATGAGTTTTAGGAGATAATTTATAATCTTAAATTCTGATCTTTTATTTCTAAAGGAATTGAATGGCTTTAAGTTACTGTAAATTCTCATGGGATAAGAATCTTGTTGCCAGCTATACTGAGCAGGGAAAGTCCTTGCAGTTAAATTAAAATTGTAGTGCTATTAAGTTGTCAGTGCTGGTGGGTTGTTTTCATCTTTTGATCCAGTTTTTGCAGTATGTCAGATCTGATCTCTCAAAGTGGTAGTGGTTTTTAACTTTTTAGTATTAGAAAAAAGTGCTCTCAGCAGGCTTGTAGTTTGTGTTGGGGTATATATAATTTTACTTTAGAATTTTTCTTTTGAAAAATTAAAGTCACTACTAGCTTTTGTGTGTCAAAACTGTCATAGGCAGATCATCCTGAAATGTACAACATTACGGTTTTACGGTTTTATTTTTTCATTAATACAAATTAGAGTTGATTTTTAATTTCTGGGTCTATTTTATATGTATCTGGCTTTTTTGACCCCTCAATATTATTAAAATCTAAACACCTACTCTATAAATCACTTGTTCTTTTATGAACCTTGTTTGAATTCCAGATGTGCTGGGTAGACACAGAAGAAAGCCATCACCCCTGATACATATTTGCCAGCTAAACCTGAATAAAAATAGTGTAAACTTTTGACTTAGTGACATACCTGTTTTAGTTACTTATGAAGTTATCTACATCAGCATTATTTTCACAACCCTTGAAGACTTGTTAAACTTAATTTGGTGGTAAAATCATTTCAATAAGTATGTATGGGCTTAGGTTAATATTCATTTTCATTTCCATTACTGTTAATCAGAATTTTTTCCCTCCAAAAGTCCAAGGGAAAGGTTGGAGGGAGGATCATCTGGAAGAGTTGCTTTTTTATCTTTAAAAAAAAAATGGGATTGAACTGACCTAACAATTGAAGAATAGGATGTAGAATGGAAAACCAATTTTCAACCATTACTACCCTTGTACTTTTTCTCTTCATTGTTTGTTAATTGCTTTCTTTCTAAGGAAGACTTTTTAAGTGACAGTTAAAAGTAATCAGAGGTTTTGGTTGCTATGACAGAACTGAAAGTATGGCTTGGGGAGAAACAGTACATTATCAGAGATTGTCATTGTAATAAGTGGCTTTGTTGATAACATCAAATATTTTCTTCTAAGAGAAGGGGTTCAGAGACTCTTGTAATATTCTTTATATGGATTAACATGAAGGTTTGGTGTAATAGCTTTGTTACTGCTAGTGATGCAATTTTAGGGCTCTGATGCCTTTATAATTTTAAGTGTGAAGTATCAGTAATCATAGTAGTAAACCTTTGTTCTGACATCCTGGTTTTGGCTTTATTTTTTAAAATTAGCTTTCCTCACATCTTGTAATTTATTATAATTTTAGGCACTTATGGAATACTGGCTTGGTGTAGAAATGATTACTGGAGCCGCAGAAAAGGTTAAGAATTTATTACTAGGCCTGGAGGTCAGGCTTGACTTTGCTGTCTTCTAGTTAAGACTTTCAGAAGACATTTTGATACAAGTCTCACTTTCTTCCTCTTTTCTAAATGCATGCACTTTTAGTAGTATCTGCCTTCTGATTAGAACTGAGAGCATTTTCTTTTTCTGAGTGTTGGAGATAGTCACAGTAGGGCAACCTGAAATTGGAACTTAGCACTGTCAAGCAACCCTGCTATGTGGGTGAGTTACTTTGCAGAAGAAATAGAAGTTGTGAAATGGCAGACTGTTCGTTTCCTACTGCCAACTCTACCACATTTGTGCCCCCTTTTTAAGTGTCATTTAGAAGATTAAGTGAGTGTTTCTACACAATGAAGGAAGATGCCCATTTCTCTCCAAAGGAACCTTATAATCTGTAGATTGTATATTTTAATTGGTGAAATGTTACTCCTTAAAATTCCTTAGTTTGTTCGAATGTCTCACATAAGGTATGGTATGGAGGCTTACAGAGCTGAATTTCTAAAGTTATACCATATTTTAATCATATCTGGAGTTTTTTTTGAGACTGTCACTTGACATTGAGTTTGTTGTTCTTATTTTGTGGGTATAACTTAGTTCAATAGGAAAACTTAAAAGTAATATGGGCATCAAAGAATGTATCAAAAGATTACAATGGTTGTTTGACTTAGTATATATGAAGTTTGTTAGTGAAAAAACTAGGTTAGTTTTTGAATGGCACTTTTGGCCAGAATGGTGGTAATTTTAAACAAAGTGATAAATGCTTGCTGTCAGATATATATCATACATATTAAACCCTTTATAATATTGCTAGTAAGAATTCTGTAATTTAAAAATAGGTATGTTGTCTTGGTTACACTAGATTTCTTGAACACCCATACCCAAATCACTGTGTTATCAGTGTATTTATACCATGTTCAGTGGGCAGCTTTTTTTTTTTTTTTTTTGACATTCGACATTTAAGTTACAAGCTTTCAGATGGATGGGAAAAAATGAAAATGACTTTAAAAAAACGTTAACATTCTTGAGAGGTGTTAAATACAGCTAGAGCACCATATACCATACATACACAATCATCCTGAAGTGAATCATTCCAATGTGTGATTTGTATTTAATTTCAATGCTCATGTACAAAGGTTCATTTAAACACAAAACTACGTCAGTAGAATCTTCACTGTATATTTTTCCCTTTTCCTCACTAATTAAAATTTAAAAATTTGTCAGTGTCTACAATGTTTTAACAGATTGGTTATTGTAACTTCAGAATTGGCCCTTCAAAAATCCTTTTCACTCAGGAGCAGCATAACATGAGCATTGAATATATATACCTGAGAAAACTACTAATAAAAGCTTAAGGGGGGGTGTCATTTTATATATACTTGGAGGCTGAAGGCTTCTGTTGAGTTTTCAGTTCATTTTTAAATTAATGCATCATTGTAGAGTTGGTTAGTTATATATTCCATTATTTTACACATTGCCATTAGTTTCCACTTTAACTTTTAATTATGTTTGATCTTACTTTGGATTGGGGTTAATAAATTTATTGGGATTACCAATGGATACTCTTTCAATTTAAAAGATACAGTTATTATGACCTAGTGTTTGGGGGGTGGGTAGTGAAAACTTTAATAAAGTGTTGTTCTTGGCAGATAAAATAGTAGTTTGAAAAGTTTAGAAGTCTTTCTAAAATGCATCACCTGGCCTAGAAAATATATTTGTTGTATTTTACTTGTTTCATGCTTGTAGTTGAAGAGATTGGTGCTCTGATATAGTGATTCTTTGGAGTACTTGACATAAACCAACAAGTACCTTATGTGCTTCTACCCCCAGGATTCAGAAAACACTTGCTATTAATGCTGTAATATTCACAGATTGTGTTGAGCTTAATATCAATGAGACGACCATTTAATGTGTTGGTTCTTAGTTCCTGTCTACTCTTGTTATTTTGCTGACCTGCTGTCACTTCTCACTGATCTATGCTTCTGTCTCAACAATTCTTCCCCCTTCTAATTATTGTGGTCTTGGGAAAAGCTTTAGTTTAATAGTTAAATATTTTGTGATGACTACTGATCTTTGCATTTGGGACTCTTTAAAGAATCTGTATAAAATACTGTGCTTTTAGTTCACAAGTTCCCTTGCCTTCTTCTTTTGCAAGCAACACTTAGTGCTATTGTGGAAGAACGGAAATGAATTCCTCTCCAAATCCCAGATTTCTGAATATTATTTGAAGAAAATATTCTTAGTAGATTTGTTCTATTAGTTGTTGGAAGCCCAGTCTTCTTTATTAAAAGTTTTTATTTTGCTAAATTTTAATTTTTTTCTTTTAGAACAAATTCTCTACAACATAAAACAAGAGTATAAACGCATGCAGAAGAGAAGACATTTAGAAACTAGTTTCCAACAGACAGATCCATGTTGTACCTCTGATGCACAGCCACATGCATTTCTCCTCAGTGGACCAGCTTCACCAGGTAATAAGGGCAAAGCATTATTAAGTATGGGAAAGAGCAATCCAAAATACTTTTAGTCACTTAGGTTCCTGTTGTTCCCATTGATTTGTAAAAACATCTACATAAGTAATGCATGGTTTTTTTTTTTTTTAAGATTTATTATGCATACAGAACTGGGGTACAGGCCAGAGGTGCAGGGGGTGAAAGTATTCATCAGAGATGGAGTGGGGAGCAGAACAGGCAGATGTACTGAAATACTGCTGAAGGGAGCAGTGGGCAGGTCAGGAGAGGTCTGCAACACCATGTGGGTCACCTCCCTGGTTGGGAATGGAACTCATGCTGCAGTGGCTGTATAACTTAATAGTGCTGTGCTTTAACCCGTTGCACCACAAGGGAAGGCCCTGTGCATGGTATCTTAAAAGCGTGATACAAAATAAGTCATCATCTGAGTTCTTGGCAAAAGACAAGTCACCCGTGTACTTTTATTTATAGCCTCCATTTAAAAAAATAAAAGATTCATAATATACCGTGTGCTCCCTTGTTAGGTACAAATGTACCTTACCACAGATGAATATTAAGCTATCTTACCGATTTCCCACCATTATTTAGTTGTCATTAGTGAGAATTAGACTCCAAATTTCTGCTATTACAGTATTAACAAAAATGTCCTTACACATTTACCCTCATGCACTTGTCCTATTAGTATAGCGTTCTAATGAAGATCATTTTCATCTCTTTTTTTTAAAATCTGTCTTTTGTTGACAGTAGTTGGCTTACAAATGTACTTTTCTTTTTAAGATTTATTTATGCATACAAGAACTGGGGTAGAGTGGAGAGAGAGGATTCACCAGAGGGAGTAGAAAGGAGAGGCAGATTGACATAAACTGCTGAGGGTAGCAGCAGGTGGGTCAGGAGAGGTCTGCTGCACCATGAGAGCCACCTCCCTGGCTTGGGGTTGAACTCGTGGTGCAGTGGCTGTGGACAACTTCATAGTGCTTCGCTTTAAACCATTTCGCCACTAGGGAAAGCCTGCTATTGTACTTTTTCTTAAAAGGCAGAAAAATGAGAGCTAGTTGAAATCAAGGGAAAAGTAGAGCTTCTTGTTCCTGTGATTTTGTAAATCAGGTGCTGTTTTTTTTTTTTTTTTGGTCGTCCTTCATGGTATACATAGGGACTTCATCAGCAACATCCTCACCGTTAAAAAAAGAACAGCCCTTATTCACTCTACGGCAGGTTGGGATGATATGTGAACGCTTGTTGAAAGAACGTGAAGAGAAAGTTCGAGAAGAGTATGAAGAAATATTGAACACAAAACTTGCAGGTATAAGTACTACCCAGGCTATACATGAGGTCTTCTAACTTGAACTAAAATTATTTCCTGACTCATGATAAGTTCATTGCTTAGTTATTACCGGAGTTAATGATGATGTCTGATTAATAAGAGTTATATCACAATAAATATTGAGTTTTTCAGCTTACCTGGCTCTAATATGTTATGTAATTAATGTATATCTATTTGTAGAACAATATGATGCATTTGTGAAGTTTACGCACGATCAAATAATGCGACGATATGGAGAACAGCCTGCTAGTTGTAAGTATTTAATCCTTTTAGGGAGAACAAGACAACCTTTTAAAAGATAATCATTCTAATTTTCATACCCAAGAGAATTTAACAGAAATGAAAAAACTGAAGGGAAATAGGCAACAATATATTACTAAGGCTCACTTTTGATAAATACCTAGGGAATGTTGGGGACAAAAGTCTGATGCGTCAAACACTTGGTACTAACTTTCTTTTTCTCCCCATTTAGATGTTTCATGAATCACGTTTTCTGCATTTTTCTGGGCTGCCTTGTTCCTTGTTGAGTTGTTGCAAGAGGTCCCAATTATGACATGCAGCAATGCCAATACCCCCCGTGAATACAGATTACTTCAAGCTTTCGTCAGTGGCAACCACTTTTAGGCAGCAACTGGGTTTTGGAATTTCCCTGATGTCAATATCACCCGGAAGTGGACCTTTGCTACCTGTATTAATACCAGTGGCCCCATTTGCTATATCATTACAAATTGGCTTCCTACATTAATGTTTGAAAAGGATCAAAGCTGGTATTCTAAGAACATGCCCTTCACTGGTTGTGTAAATAAAACTGTAGAATGATACTTCAGATGAAGTTAGTGTGATTTTTAATTGTGCACTACAACCAAGCTGTAACCAGTTATTAATAATTTAGACTGTTAATCCCAGAATATTAAGCAACTAGCCTACAGTGCTTCCTGTGAAATAGTGAAGGAGGAGGGCATTTCTGTATTCCAGGACTTCTTGGGGCTTCAGAATGGATTTATATGATTTTTTTTTGGTAGTTTTATTTATTCTATCAATCTTTTTAACAAATGTTTATTGCTGCATTTTTTTTTCTCCCAGTGTATCATTATTTTATTGCCCTTGTAGTACTGGAATTTAGTTGAAAGAATAAAACATTTACTTCTAGTCTGCTTGTTTTTTTACTGACTAGTATTTGAAGAAAGCCAGTGTTTGAAATGTAAAACACTTTCTAGGAAATTATGAAATTAATGTTTAATAAGATCAGCACTCTTCAAAAGTTAAATTTTTTACTACAAATTGCGTCTGTTGTAACTCATTGCATGGTAGAATGTTAGAAAACAGATTAAGTTTAATAGGTGTAGAATTCTTTATCTCAATCCAAGTTTTTTTTTAAAGGATGTATGATACCATAATTCAGAAAATTTAAAATACATAGTTTCTAAACACAGCTGTCCTATAATGTAGTGAGCAGAAATGCTTCTGAATTCTAGCATTGAATTCTATTAGTGCATTTTCGCTAAATCAGTCATATATGTACTGGGACACAGGTATTTATAACTGACCTAATAGAAATACAGGTGACCCCCCCACTCCCAACCTTGATGCTTCTACTTCAGTAGTTCTGTTTAAAACAAGGGCAGGGGCCTCCCTAGGGGTGCAAGGGAAGTGTCAGCACTATGAAGCAATCTGCAGCCACTGTGGCATGAGTTCCATCCCCAGCCATGTGGTGCAGCAGAACTCTACTGTCTCTCTACTGCTCCGCTCAGCACTGTACTTTGTCAATCTGCCTGTCCTGCTCCCCATTCTGTCTCTGAAGCCTCTCACCACCTCTGCACTCTGGCTTGTAACCTCAGTTCTGAATGCATAAAAAAAATTTTTTTAATCTTTAAAAAAAGAAAAAACAAGGCCAACAAATAGTAAAAGGCTTTCACAAGACCTCCAGGTAATCTTAATGTTCATTAAGTGCGTGAGAAACTGGCAGAGCACAGTGTGGATATCGAGTAATTCTACCTGGATTTATGGGCTTTTTACAGTGACTCCCTGAGAACCTTTCCACCAACAACTGGGCCAGGTTACACCTCTTACACAACGTAGGATGTCTAATAGCATCTCTGTCCTCCACCACTAGATGCCAGTAGCACCCACCCTAGTTGTCAGCCAAAGTACTTCCAGATAATGTCAAATGCTGGGAGTGAGGGAAAGTGTCCAGCTAAGAACCACCTGTTCAGCACTGCAGCATTTTTAGGAGAATGCAACCACGGAGGTGTGGAGTAAAATTAGGTAACATTTTAGATTCAGGAACGACAAAAATAATGACCATTATTCTGTTAGGTTTTGAGATTTAAATTTGTAAGTTGATTTTTATACTTGATGAGCAAGTATAAAAAGGTAGAATTTACCTAAAAGGAAAATCAGCTCTGGAAATAAGAATGGAAGTACAAGTAACAGCTTTAGTTTTGATTGTAATTTAAGACTTAAAATTTACCTCTTGTTGAATTTCTGCTTACTACATCACTAGAAGTCCTATGGGCTACTTTCTGGTTTTAAGTAGTATGAGATAATTACAGGAAAAAGAATATGGACAACTTCTTGAATTTAGTTACAATTAGATGAACCAGTAGTTGTCTACCCTAATCCAAATACCGACCACACTTAATAGATGAAATTTGCTACTTAAGGATTCTGAATTTCCAAAGGTGAATGGAATTTGAATAGCTTAAGACTATCTACAGAATTTGTAGTGTGCTAACAAGTCATTCTCCTAGTAAAAGGTAGTGTTTGTTTATATCTGCCCCTAAAGATGATGGTTTTCAAATGAGATATTTATGCATCAGCAGTATTACTTGGAATGTTAAATATGTGCCATCAGTGGTCCAAGCAGTTATGGTTTGAAATTCTTTGATTCACTTGGGATCTCCTATCAAAAGTATGTAATTGGTGTTAATACTCTGCTTTAGACCTGATAGCCTGACACTGACAAACATGGCTCCAGCGACTTCCCACACCTCTATCAGTCCCAGGTATGGAGTATTAGATCCAAACTCCAGGACAGTTCCAACAATTCTCTCCTGCATCCATTTTTTTTTACTGGATTGGTCACCCCAGGAGCATAATAAACATGCTACTAAAAACCTTTCTGATCCAAAAAAAAAAGTAAAAAATGATATAAAAATAAACTATTATTAAAAACAAAACAAAAAAGGCCCTCCTTGGTGGCACAGCAGGTTAAAGCACAGCACTGAGAAGCTAAAACCACTTCCACATGAGTTCGATTCCTGCCTGCCCCAGAGACCACATGGCGTGGCAGACCTCTCCTGACCCACCCGCTGCTCCCCTCAGCAGTGACTTTGTAGATCTACCTGTTCTGCTCCCCACCCTTGTCTCTGGTGAATCCTCTCACTGCCCCTGCACCTCTGGGGCCTGTACCCCAGCTCTGTATGCACAAATAAATCTTAAAAAGAAAAACCTTTTGATCCTTTATCCCTTTCTGTCCATTACCTATTTTTCTGCTCTAACCTTTATATTTTCTCTCAACCTTTACCCTACCCCCTTCTCTACTAGAAGTTTGGAAAAAACAGTTCATAATGCATTTATAGTGTATAACTATTTTAACTTTCACAAGAAAATTGCAGACATGAGGCATTGCCTAAAGTGGATCATAACTTTAATACCATTACCCCATCTAAAAGAGCCTATTTTAATATGTAATCCAGATTTTCCCATCTGTCCTTAAAGTGCAGCATTTTTATCCCTAAAGTGGAATTTCATCAAGATTCTTTAGCAAATGGGGCCTGTTGTCTTTGTTATGTCTTTAACCTCTTCTATTCCTTTCAAAGCTCCCATAAACTGGGAGGTCTTGATGCTGGTATTATTAGTTTCAAGGGTAAAGCTTTGTGCAAGATGATGCTATGATCTAAATAGTACAGCATACCACCTGGCTTTCCCAGGGCTAGCGATAAATCTAGATACTTGTTAGGTCACCTCATAGATGAAGTCTATCAGGTTCAGTCTGTCTACCCTTACAGATCACCACTTGACCTTAAAACACTTTCAGTTGTTTTATAAGAAGTCATTTCACTTGCCTGATTTTCCTCCACTGTCTGCACCTTCTTTTTCTATCTTGTTTCCAGCCCTATCTTCATTTCTCTGAACTTAAAAACACAGGAATGCCCCTGAGTTCAACTCTAGGCTCCATGCCGCCTCTCTTCTTATCACTTTGGTGAGCTCAGCTAATCCTAAAGACATCAGATTATAGTCACCTCCAAGAGTAGCATTTCCACCTGGATATTTAACAGCAGTCTAAAAATTTATGTTCAAAACCAAACTATTTTTGCCTCTTAACCTTTTCCTCCTCACTCCCAACCAAATTAATGGCATCTCTATTGAAAGTGTCTTGGACCAAAGTCTGAATTCCTCACATCCTTCATCTAATCTTTGTTCCATTTAAAAATCTCACCATCTTGGCCCTCCCTGGTGACGCAGCGGGTTAAAGCACAGCACAAAGAAGCTTAAGCCACTTCCACATAAGTTTGATCCCCGCCTGCCCCGGAGGTGACCACATGGCGTGGCAGACCTCTCCTGGCCCGCCCGCTGCTCCCCTCAGCAGTGTACTTCGTCGATCTGCCTGTTCTGTACCCCATTCTGTCTCTGGTGAATCTTCTCACCCTCCACATTCTGGCCTGTACCCAGTTCTGTACGAATAAATAAATAAATCTTTAAAAAAAAAAAAATCACCATCTCTACTATTACCCTTGTCTAAGATACTAGCATGTCTTGCCTGTTTTTAATTTCAGTGGTTTCCTAATTGGCCTTTGAGTTGCTTCTGTTGTGTCCCCATACCTGGTGTAGCCTATCACAGAGTGATCCCTTAAAGGTCTATGTCTTAAGACTTAAGTAGCTTCCTACTGAAGTAAAAGTGAAAGACCTAAATCACCCCTTTTAATTTAGGTTGCACCCAATCTCAGTCAGTTTTCTCCTGCTTGCTCTGCCTATCCATACTGGTACTTTTGCTAACCTCTCAATGTGGTCTGCATAATTGTGTGTGCCTAACTTCTTTGTTACTGCCATTGCCTGCTTACAATCATTTCTTCCATAAAACTTCATGAGTAAACCTTGTATGAAAATAACTCACCAAGACCTATTATGATTACCATTTAAAACTGCAGCATATTCTGGGTATTTGTTTGCCTATACCATACTATATAACTTCTATTCATTCTGCTAAAATGTAATGAAGGCAAGGATCATTATTCGCTTGAAATAGCACAAGTGCTCTGAACAGTGCCTGGCATGTGGTATGTGCTCAATAAGCAACTTCTTCAAATCATGGTTTTCCTTGATGCAATGAGTTAGAATAGTACATGTATGAGGTAAGACTATTTGGTTGAGGAATTAAGGAGAAAGAATTGACCTGGAAAATCAAACTGGCTTGAGGATTTTGTATTCTATTAATGATGACCACAATGGGCTTCATGTTTTAATTTTACAGCTTTTTGGGTATTCACTGTGAAAATAGGCATTTCCACCTTACATAATCTTTAAATAGTAAGAAAAATAAAACTTGTTCATTGTATGACATGCACTTAGGTAGCATAAATTCACCTTAAGTGCCCAGCAAAAGAAAAATTGGTGAAGCAGGGCTACTTCTATTTAGATGCCACATGCCTTAGACAGGTGTGAATCTGCATGTCTAGATGAAGCCAGCTCCTCTACCTTAACATGTAAGCATTTTGTTATGTGTTTGTTGTAAACATAGGTTTCTAAACACTATCAATTTCACCTGGTGTTCAACCTTATCATTTGACAGTTGGAGGAACATTTTGTATACATCAATGGTGTCTTTTAAGATCTAGATTATTGGGAAATCACTATTATTGACTGACAAATAGGCAACAGATAAAAAAAATCCTTAAAAATCATCCACAGGTTGGCCCTACCTGGTGGTGCAGGAGGGTAAAGCACTGCACTAAGAAGCTAAAGCCACTTCCGCATGAGTTCGATTCCCGCCTGCCCCAGAGGTGACCACATGGGATGGCAGACCTCTCTTGACCCGCCCGCTGCTCCCCTCAGCAGTGTACTTCGTCGATCTGCCTGTTCTGTTTCCCACTCTGTCTCTGGTGAAGCCTCTCACCGCCCCTGAGCCTCTGGCCTGTACCCCAGTTCTGTATGCAAAAATAAACCTTAAAAAAAAAACAAAAAACAGTTAAACATTAAAT